AGGGGAGGGAAGGGAGGGAGCGAGGAGGGGGAAATGGTCAGGGTGAGGGGAGGGAAGGGAGGGAGCGAGGAGGAGGAAGAGAGTCGAGAGCGGAGCTGAAGGCTGAAGGTCAAAGAGAAAGGTTTTGAGACCGGCCTTGAAGGAGGAAAGGGAGGAAGCGGCGAAGGCACTGGGGGATGGAGTTCCAGAGCCTCGGGGCTGAGAGGCTGAAGGCCCGACCACCGATGGTAGGGCGGTTGGGGCGGGGGACGTGGAGCAGACCAGAGCCAGAGGAACGGAGGGTACGGGCAGGTAGGTAGGGGGATAGTAGGTTGGAGAGGTAGGAGGGAGCGAGGCCGTGAATGGCCTTGTAGGTGAGGATGAGGATCTTGAAATCAATCCTCTGGGGGATGGGGAGCCAGTGGAGGCGAGCGAGGGCGAGGGCGAGGGTGAGGGCGAGGGTGAGGGCGAGGGTGGGAGTGATGTGGTCGCGGTGTCTGGTGCGGGACAGTACACGAGCTGCAGAGTTCTGAATGACCTGCAGTGTGGAGGGAGGGCCGGGAAGGCCGACGAGGAGAGAGTTCCCATAGTCCAGCCTTGAGGTGACAAAGGCGTGAACCAGGGTTTCAGCCGCGTGAGGGGTGAGGTAGTGCCGTAATCTGGCGCTATTCCGGAGGTGATGAAAGGCGGTGCCAGTTGTAGTGCGGATGTGAGGGAGAAAGGACAGCTCAGGGTCGAACAAAACGCCGAGGTTCCTGATGGCTTTGAGAGGTGGAGAGTGCGGAGCTGATGCTGTCAGCGCCTGAGGTGCGGAGGCGCTGACGTGAGCCAATCAGGAGGGCCTCAGTTTTGCGCACGTTGAGCTGAAGAAAGTTGTCTCTCGTCCAGGACTCGATGTCGGACAGGCAGCTGTCAGGACATCGGGGGTCGTGGAGTTGAGAGTAGAGGAGGAAAGGTAGAGTTGGGTGTCATCCGCATACATGTGGGAGTTAACCCCATGTCTGCGGATGATGTCACCACAGGGGGAGCATATAGAGGGTGAAGAGGAGGGGACCGAGGACAGAGCCCTGAGGGACACCACATGAGACAGTACGGGGGGTGGAGGAGAAGCCATTCGTTGAGACAAAATGAAGACGGTGAGAAAGGTACGACCTAAACCATTCAAGGACAGTGCCTTGAAGGTTGAGGTGGGAGGACAAGCGGTGGAGTAGGATAGCGTGGTCGACCGTATCGAATGCTGCCGATAGGTCGAGGAGGACGAGGAGGCAGAGGGAGCCCTGGTCACAGATGGTCAGGATGTCATTGGTGACCTTGACCAGGGCAGTTTCTGTGCTATGGGCAGCACGGAAACCTGACTGAAGGGGTTCAAAAAGAGAATGGGTGGAAAGGAAAGAGCGCAGTTGGGAGGCGACAACTCTTTCCAAGACCTTGGAGAGAAAGGGGAGGTTGGAGATGGGCCGGTAACTTGATAGCTGCGACGCATCAAGGGAGGGTTTTTTCAGGGTGGGCGTGATGATGGCAGTTTTTAATGGAATGGGGACAGAGCCAGAGGAGAGGGACAGGTTTATGATGTCAGTGATATGGGACAGGTTGATGATGTCAGTGATATACACACGCTGTATGTACACACACACTATACACACATACTATACACACACACTGTACACACACTCTGTCCACACACACACTGTACACACACACTATATACACACACTATACACACATACTACACACATACATACTATACACACACACTATACACACATTGTACACACACACTGTACACACATTGTACACACACTGTACGCACACTGTACATATACTGTGCAAACACACACTATATACACACACACTGTACACACACACTGTACACACCGTACACACAATGCACACACACATACTGTATGTACACACACACTGTATGTACACACACACACTGTACACACACACTGTACACACACTGTACACGCACTGTGCACACACACACACTGTGCACATGCACACTATATACGCACACTGTACACACACACACAGTACAAACTGTACACACTGTACACACACACACTGTATGTACACACACACTGTACACACACTGTATGTATACACACTGTAAACACACTGTACACACACACTGTACACACACACTATACACACACACCATACACACACACACTATGCACATACACACGATATACACACTGTACACACACACTGTACACACACACTGTACACATAAACTGTACACACACTATACACGCACACTGTACATACACACACTGTACACACACTGTACACGCACACTGTACACACACATTGTATACACACAACACACACTGTACACACACAATATACACACACACTATAATCACACACTATATACACACACACTATATACACACACACACTATACACACACTGTATACATACACACACTATATACACACACACTGTACACACACTGTATGTACACACACACACTCTACACACACACTCTACACATACTGTACACACACACTGTACACACACACTGTACACACACACACTGTACACACACACACTGTACACACACTGTACACGCACACTGTACACACACATTGTATACACACACACACAACACACACTGTACACACACAATATACACACACACTATAATCACACACTATATACACACACACTATATACACACACACTATACACACACTGTTCACACAAACACTGTATACATACACACACTATATACACACACACTGTACACATACACACCATACACACACTATACACAAACACACTATATAAACATACACACACACTATATACACACACAATATACACACACACACAATACACACACTATACACACACTATATACACACACACTATATACACACACACTATGCACACACTGTACAAACACTGTACACACACTATACACACACACACTGTACACACAAACACTATACACACAAACACTATACACACACACCACACTATATACACACACACTGTACACACACACTGTATACACACACACTGTATGTACACACACACTATATGCACAAACACACACTGTATGTACACACACACTGTACACACACTATACACACGATACACACACTGTATACACACACTATACACACACACACTATACACACTGTACACACACACACTGTATGTAAACACACACACTTTACACAAGACACTGTGCACACACTGTACACACACTGTACACACACATACTTTTACACACACTGTACACACACACACACTGTACACACACACTGTACACATGATACACACACACACTGCACACACACACTATATACACGCACACACTGTACACACACACACTATACACACACACACTGTACACACACTGTATACACACACTATACACAAACACATACACACACTATATACACATAATTTACACACACACAATACACACACTGTATGTACACACACACTGTGCACAAACACTGTACACACACACTATACACGCACTGTATACACATGCACTGTACACACACACACTGCACACACACAGTACACACACTGTACACACACACAATACACACATACACTGTACACACACAATACACACACACAATACACACGCATTATCCACACACACTGTACACACACACACTACACACACACTACACACGCACACACTGTACACACACACACTGTATACACACACTACACACACTGTACACACACTATAATAATAATAATAATAATAATAATAATAATAATAATACTTGCATTTGATATAGCGCTTTTCACGTCGGGAGGACGTCCCAAAGCGCTTCACAGAACACACTGTAAAGTGAATTGACTGTATATTTGTGGGCGAACACGGCAGCCAATGGCGCACAGCAATGTCCCACAAACAGTCGTGGATTGAAAATGACCAATTTATTATTGTTTTTGGTTTTGGAGGGATTATTATTAGGCTCTGTGTGGAGTAAGGAAACTTGCCCAAGGTTTCGCCCTCTGCCTGGAATTGAACTCAGGTCTCTCACTTGCAAAGCGAGTGCTCTAACCACTGAGCTACAGGACTCCACTATATACACACCCACTATAATCACACACTATATACACACCCACTATACACACACTGTACAAACACCGTACACACACACACACTATACACACGCACACTGTATACACAAACACTATACACACACACACTGTACACACACACACTGTACACACAAACACACTATATACACATACACACAAACTATATACACACTACACACAATACACACACTGTACACACACACTGTATGTACACACACACACTATACACACAATATTTACATACTGCATACACACACACTTTACACACTGTACACACACACACTGCACGCACACACACACTATACACACTATACAAACACACTGTAAACATTATACACACACACTATACACACACTATACACACGCACACTATACACACAGTACACACACGCGCGATACGCACACTATACACACTATACACACACACACTGTACACACTATATACACACACACTGCACACACTCTACACACTTTACACATACTATTCACACACACACTATACACACTACAGACACACACTATACACACACACTGTACACACTATACACACACAAACTATACACACACACACAATATACACACTATGCACACACACACACTATACACACACTATATATACACACACTATACACACACACACTACACATACACACACTACACACACACACACACTGTATCCACACTCTACACACACACACTGCACACACACACACGATACACACTATAGACACACACTATACATACTATAGACACACTATACACACACACACTATATATATACACACACTATATATATACACACACTACACAGACACACACACTACACACAGTAACACACACACCGCACACACGGCTTCCCGGGGGGGAGGCGGCGGCGGGAACAAAGGGAGGGCCGCGGGGCCGCGGACAACAAAGCGCGGGCGGCGCGGACTCACCCGGGATCCCGCACCGACCGACCGACTGACTGCCTCGGGCCCTCGGCTCCGGCCCCGCGGGCGGGCGGGCGGGCGGGCGGGCGGCACGGCCCGGGGTGTGGGGGTGAGGCCGCCTCCGCGGGGGAGGTGCGGAGCGCGGCCTGGTCTGGCCCGGCCCGGCCCGGCCTGGCGGCGACAGCGGCCCCCGGTTACCCGCCCGCAGCCATCCACAGCCCGCGCGCACACTCCGCCACCCGCTGCCCCGCCTGCCTGTGAGTGTCGGCCCGGCCCGGCCCGGCCCCGCGGTCCCGGTCCCGGTCCCGGTCACGGCCTCTCTCGGCGCCGCTCGGGCCGTGTTCAGGGCTCAGCCGCTGCCTCACCAGAGCCGCGCGCAAACCCCGGAGCGGAGCCCGGCGGCTCCCGGAGCGGAGTCAGCTCAGCGCGCCCCAAAACCCGGAGCCGGAGCCAGAGCAGGGAACATACAAACAGGAGCAGGCCATTCAGCCCCTCCAGCCAGTTCTACAAGATCATGGCTGCTCTGTACCTCAACTTCAGTTCCCCGCCCTCGCCCCGTCCCGTATCCTTTAATGCCCTGGACCTAACCATTAGCTTTCCGTCTCGGTCTTCAACAAGGAGCAGAATCAGAGTGAGCCAAACCAGAAGCCGAATAAGAGATGGGGAACAGGAATGGAGTGAGTGCACCCAAACCCCGGAGCAGAGCCAAAACCACAAGACCAGGCCCAGCGAGAGCCGGGAACCCAGAGTGGAGTCAGTGCATCCAGAACCAGGACCAGAGACACGGACAGGAACCTGGAGTGGAGTCGGTGCCCAACACCCAGAGCAGAACAAGAGATGTGAGGCAAAGTCGGAGCAAGCAAAACCAGAAATGGATAAAACCCAGGAATCTTGAAGTGGAGTGAGGAAATTCTAGTCAGAGGAGCCAGAATGAGGGTATACACAGCGGAGCGGAGTCAGGGTGAAAAAAAAGTGCAGGGAAACCCTGGAGCACAGTCAGAGCGAGGGAACCCCAGTGTGGAACAAAGTCAGGAAAAACCTCCAGAGTGCAGAAAACTTAAAGTCGGCTTTGGGGAAAAACAGGAGTGAATTATTAGAGAGGGGGAATTTAGAGTCAGAAAAGTTTCTGTAGCTCATGGAAACACTCATTAGGAACATTGTGACTTCAGTAGGCAACTCAGCGCATCAAGCCTGTTGAGCCATTTTCTTGAAACACAGCAGGTTTTTAATCCTATTTCTGTATCTTTTTCCTGAATTCCTGCAATATCCTTTGCTTCCTGCACAGGCTCTTCAATCAAAGAGGGGCAAGTCCCAGCTTAGATCAGTACCTTTTTTCCAGACCTAGAACCCACACTAATCTCACCCAACTCTACACCAGGAAGCAGCAATTCGGTGGCCAAAATTTTAGTATCAAATCCAAATCCTTTTACCACAAGTCCAGCTCAATATCCCTCACGTCACCTACTTCAGCCAAAATCCAATCCCTTGGAATCTGCAATGTAGATCAACGAATCCTTTGTTTAGGCAACAACAACAACAAAATTACATTTATAGAGCGCCTTTCACATCGGGAGGACTTCCCAAAGAGGCAGCACTATGATGTCAGCCAAATACAGTAGGTCAAGTGCGGATCTCTGATGTTTAAGCAGGAAGAGAAAAATGTCAGTTGTGCATAAGGAAATCTTATGGCCAGGGAGATAAATGCACAGTCATTTCCTCTATTTCTTGATGTTCTTAGAAGGTAAATGTTACAAGCACAGCGCGGATTGTAATCCTGGTCTTCACTAGGATCAGAAAGAGCGAGACAGGTTGACCACTAGCAGGGGACAGAAGAGGGACAGCTGGATGGTCAACAAGTGGCTGGGTAGGGAGGGGGTTCAAATGAACCGTCTCATAGCCACAAGATGAAGAAGACCCTTCAGCCCATCTGATCTCATCCCTCAAGAACACCCACCCTACCAACCTCCCATCACAACATCAAGCTGTATTTCAATTGAGTACCAGTATCTTAGCTCAGTAACCCAGTTCCAGTCATTTATTACCCTCTGTTTAAAGAAAAACCTCCTGGTGTCTGTCCTAAAATTGCCTTTTACACATCTCAACCCGTGTCCTCTTGTTCACCTGTCTTGATACATTCTAAGTTTTGATCTGAGTTTGGAGCTTGGGATTTTCTTCAGCTTCAAGAATGACCTTGGATTAGAAGGAGGTTTTAGCTTCAAGAGAGGGAGAGCTTCAGAGAGGGAGAGCTTGTAAGGTTGGCTCTCTGTGCCATCTTGGTTTGAGAGGATGGGATTGGGATTTTAGGGATTGGAGGTGGCTGTTATACCAGATGGAGTGGGGGTAGGGGTGGGAGATGGTTCTGGATTTTAAGAGGACAACAGTGCCTAACATGGTGGAGGGATAGCCATTAAGCAACTTGACAATTGCATCAAGATCACTAGGAGTTGAGGGCCAGGGGCAGAGAATGACATTGGAGGAGCGGACCTTTGAGAGACACCGAGTGAGGTGAAATGAAATAGTGGAGCATTTGGCAGAGGGGAAAGTCATGTAGGAGGAGAGGGAGAAAAGGAAATAGTCAGAAATGACCTTGTCAGTGATGGAGAGCTCAGAGACATCAAGGCTTTGGGGGTTGGTGAGATCAAGCGGCCATGTTATGAGTGGGGAGTTTATATGGAGGGTGAGGTTCAGGGACGAGAGAAATCACAGGAGGAGGTTGAAATATAATAATAAGTTGAAATCAATGAAAAGGGACCTAGTACAGAAAGAGAGAGGAGTGGTTGGTGAGGAAGGAGCCAGGGTCTCAGTAATAATAATAATCTTTGCATTTGATACAGCGCCTTATCATGTCTTTGAGACATCTCAAAGCGCTTCACAGAATATACTGTATTTTGTGTATTTGTGTACTTTGTGTGAAAGACTGTGTATTTTGTGGGGTGAAATGCGGAAGCCAAATCCGCACAACAGTATCCTACAAACAGTCGTGGATTGAGTGATCAAAATATTATTTTTAAAAATCTGTTTATTGTTTTGAAGGGAAAAGCAATCCGCCAATTGAGTAACAATCGGTTTCCTACTTACTGTTGGGTAAACAGAGGCGCGTGGAGTAAGGAAACGTGCCCAATGTTTCACCCGGGAATCAAAGCTTCCTGTACTAAGCTACAGTCCTCCACATTGCCGGATTGAGCGGGTTTGTCTGTGTATGAAAAGAGGGCATTGGGCGGGAACAACAACAACAACAACAAGATTCCATTTATAGAGCGCCTTTCACGTCAGGAGGACGTCCCAAGGCGCTGTACAGTTGGGTCATGACCCGAGCAGGGGGAAATGGTCAGGGTGAGGGGAGGGAAGGGAGGGAGAGAGGAGGGGGGAAATGGTCAGGGTGAGGGGAGGGAAGGGAGGGAGCGAGGAGGAGGAAGAGAGTCGAGAGGGGAGCTGAAGGCACGGTCAAAGAGAAAGGTTTTGAGACCGGCCTTGAAGGAGGAAAGGGAGGAAGCGGCGAAGGCACTGGGGGATGGAGTTCCAGAGCCTGGGGGCTGAGAGGCTGAAGGCCCGACCACCGATAGTAGGGCGGTTGGGGCGGGGGACGTGGAGCAGACCGGAGCCAGAGGAACGGAGGGTACGAGCAGGTAGGTAGGGGGATAGTAGGTTGGAGAGGTAGGAGGGAGCAAGGCCGTGAATGGCCTTGTAGGTGAGGATGAGGATCTTGAAATCAATCCTCTGGGGGATGGGGAGCCAGTGGAGGCGAGCGAGGGTGAGGGCGAGGGTGAGGGTGAGGGTGGGAGTGAGGGTGAGGGCGAGGGCGAGAGCGAGGGTGGGAGTGATGTGATCGCGAAGCCTGGTGCGGGACAGTACACGAGCTGCAGAGTTCTGAATGACCTGCAGTGTGGAGGGAGGTGGCGGGAAGGCCGGCGAGGAGAGAGTTCCCATAGTCCAGCCTTGAGGTGACAAAGGCGTGAACCAGGGTTTCAGCCGCGTGAGGGGTGAGGTAGTGCCGTAATCTGGCGATATTCCGGAGGTGATGGAAGGCGGTGCCAGTTGTGGTGCGGATGTGAGGGAGAAAGGACAGCTCAGGGTCGAACAAAACGCCGAGGTTCCTGACTGGCTTTGAGAGGTGGAGAGTGCAGCCTTGGATGCTGATGGTGTCAGCGCCTGAGGTGCGGAGGCGCTGACGTGAGCCAATCAGGAGGGCCTCGGTTTTTCGCACGTTGAGCTGAAGAAAGTTGTCTCTCGTCCAGGACTCGATGTCGGACAGACAGCTGTCAGGACATCGGTGGTCGTGGAGTTGAGAGTAGAGGAGGAAAGGTAGAGTTGGGTGTCATCCGCATACATGTGGAAGTTAACCCCATGTTTGCGGATGATGTCACCAAGGGGGAGCATATAGAGGGTGAAGAGGAGGGGACCGAGGACAGAGCCCTGAGGGACACCACATGAGACAGTAAATTTGGGAACCAAATTTTTAAACTTTTATATTAAACCTGCAAAACGTGACCTTCTCTTACACAGTTTGAAAAGCACGGACCTACAGTTGAGCGGAGGCACCGGGTGGTAGCTTGGGGAGTGAGAGGGTCGGAGAGGTAGGGAGGTGTCAGGGAGTGAATGGATTTGAACACGAGTGTGAGGATCTTGAAGTCGATCTGTTTGGTGATGGGGAGCCAGTGGAGCCTGGGCCAGAACTGGTGAGATGTGGGTAGGGAGTTTGGTTCGGGTCAGTATGTGGGCGGCAGAGTCTGAATGAGCTGATCGTGTGAATGGTGGAGTTGGGGAGACCGGCGAGGAGTGAGTTGGAGTAATCCAGGCGGGAGGTGACAAACGCATGCACCAGGGTTTCGGCTGCGTTTGGGGTAATATACGTCAGCGGCGGGCAATGTGGCAGAGATGGAAGAAAGTGGTCCTGGTCAGGGACTGGATGGGGGGGAGGAAGGACAGCTGGGGGTCGAACCAGATGTCTAGGTTGCGCACTGGTTTGGGGAGGTTGAGGAGTTCAGATCCGCAGGAGTGAACACGTTGATGGGAACCAAGGAGTATGGCTTCCATCTTGTCCACATTCAGCTGCAGGAAGTTTACA